TGAAATATGGGGACCACATCTAAAAAGACAGACCAGGGCTTGAGTACGATTAGTCTCTAAAGTTTCATAGGGACATAGAGACCTGGGCCAGCCCATTTTTCCATCATGGTGCCAGTAAGGTCTCTTTTGGCCAAAAAAAATCTTTATTGTGTGTATGGGGAAAAGAGAGAGCAGAGAGGTGGGAGATGGGAGGACACCAGATGATTTTGTAGTTTTCTCTTCCTCCCAGAGACCAGATAGGAAGCAGATTCTCCCTTTGGAAAATGGAGCCTGGGAGAAAAGTGAGCCTGTGTCCTGCCCCTCTTTACCTTTGTGAACCTAGGGTATTGGGGCGGAGGGAGCAGGCTGAGGGCATAATTTATTTCTTAGGAGTCTGGGACAGGAACCTACTCCCTGAGAAGTGAACTTAGACTCCTCTCGTGGATATGGTCTCTTACACCACATCATCCTAATGGAGAAGCTCCCCTTGTTCCCCTATCTGTCACTTGCTATAGGAAGCTGGCTCCTCAGGCACCTTTCTAGGAGCAGACTCAGAGTTAGCCTTTCAAACTGAAAGGGTGAAGTGGAAAGTATTGGATTTTGAGGTTCATGAGTGATCAAGAGAGTAATACCACTTCCTGGGTGCTTGGGGAGAGAATGCAGAGGACTGCTAGCTGTGGGAGCTTGCCTAGGGCCAGTCTTCCCCAGTATTCCAAGACCAAGTCTTCTCTTCACTTTACACTAATGATTAATTAGGGAAAGAGTAACTGGGTGGTACAGTGGATAGAGAGCTGGGCCTGGAGTCAGGAAGACTCATCTTTATGAATTCAAATCTGGCCACAGATACTTATTAGTTGCATGACCCTGAGCAAGTCACTTAACCCTGTTTGCCTCAGTTTCTTCATCTGTAAAATGAGCTGGAGAAAGAAATGGCAAGCCACTCTAATGTCTTTGTCAAGGAAACTCTAAATGGGGGTCATGAAGAATTGGACATGACTGAAATAACTGAACAATAAATTAAGTCCTCTTTTTTTCCCCTCATTTTTATTTATTCATTTTTTTTACATTTTTTTTAAAAACATGTGTTTTTAAAACTCTGGGTTCCAAATTTTCTCCCTTCCTCCCTCCCCACCCACCCTCATTGAAAAGGCAAGCAACTCAGTATAGGCTATACATGTGCAGTTATGCAAAACACTTCCATAGTGGATAGTGTGAAAAACTATCTCTATTTCCCTTAATACTATCCCGCCCCCCCCCATTTATTCTATTCTTTCTTTTGACCCTGTTTCTCCTCAGAAGTATTTGCTTCTGATTACCCCCTTTCCCAATCTGCCCTCCTCTCTATCATCCCCCTACTCTCTTGTCCCCTTCCCCTCCTATTTTCCTGTAGGGTAAGACAGATTTCCATACCCAATTGAGTGTGTATGTTATACCCTCCTTAAGTCAAATCCTATGAGAATAAGATTCACTCATTTCCTCTCACCTTCCCCTGGTTCTCCTCCACTGTAACAGCCTTTTCTTTTCTGTTTTTTTTTTGGTGAGATAATTTACCCCATTCTACCTTTCCCTTTCTCCTTCTCCTAATATAATCCTCTCTCACCCTTAAATTTTATTCTCCAGATATGACCCTGTCATCTTCAACTCACCCTGTGCCCTCTATCTATCTATCTATCTATCTATCCATCCATCCATCTATCTATCTATCTATATACATACATACATACATATAATTTTTTCCCTCCAACTACCCTAATACTGACAAAAGTCTCATGAGTTACAAATATCATCTTTTCATGCAGGAATGTAAACAGTTCAACCTTAGTAAGTCTCTTATGATTTCTCTTTCCTGTTTACCTCTTCATGTTCCACTTGAGTCTTGTATTGGAAAGTCAAATTTTCTATTCAGCTCTCCTCTTTTCATCAAGAATGCTTGAAAGTCCTCTATTTCACTGAATGACCATTTTTTCCCCTGAAGAATTATACTCAGTTTTGCTGAGTAGGTGATTCTTGGGTGTAATCCTATCTCCTTTGCCCTCCAGAATATTATATTCCATGCCCTGCAGTCCCTTAATGTTAAAGCAGCTAAATCTTGTGTTATCCTGATTGTGTTTCCACAATACTTGAATTGTTTCTTTCTGGCTGCTTGTAATATTTTCTCCTTGACCTGGGAATTCTGGAATTTGGCTACAATATTCCTAGGAGTTTTCCTTTGGGGATCTCTTTCAGGAGGAGATTGGTGGATTCTTTCAATTTCTATTTTGCCCTCTGGTTCTAAAATATCAGGGTAGTTTTCCTTGATCATTTCTTGAAAGATGATGTCTAGGCTCTTTTTTTGATCATGGCTTTCAGGTAGTCCAATAATTTTTAAATTCTCTCTCCTGGATCTATTTTCCAGGTCAGTTGTTTTTCCAATGAGATATTTCACATTGTTTTCTAATTTTTCATTCTTTTGGATTTGTTTTACAGTATCTTGATTTCTCATAAAGTCAATAGCTTCCAATTTCTTTATTCTAATTTTTAAGGAAGTATTTTCTTCACTGATCTTTTGGACTTCCTTTTCCATTTGTCCAATTTTGCTCTTTAGGGCATTCTTTTCTTCATTGGCTTTTTGGACCTCTTTTGCCATTTGGGTTAGGCTATTTTTTAAGGTGTTATTTTCTTCAGTATTTTTTTGGGTCTCCTTTAGCAAGCAATTAACTTGCTTTTCATGATTTTCTTGCATCACTCTCATTTCTCTTCCCAGTTTTTCCTTTACTTCTCTTACTTGCTTCTCAAAATCCCTTTTGAGCTCTTCCAAAGCCTGGGACTGATTCATATTTTTCTTGGAGGTTTTGGATGTAGGAGCTTTGACTTTGTTTTCTTCTTCTGGTTGTATGTTTTGATCTTCTTTGTCACCAAAGTAAGATAATATAGTCTGACTCTTTTTGCACTGCTTGCTCATGATCCCAACCAATTACTTGAGTTTTAAACTCTTTGCTAAGGTAAGAGTCTGTTTCCAATGTGGAGAATGTACTGTCCCAAGCTTCGGGGGTTTGTACAGCTGTTTTCAGAGATACTTCTAGGGGCCTGAAAAGTGTCAGTTCTTCCAAGGTGCTATGATAAGGGGCGAGGTGTTTTCTTTCCCCCACCACAACAAGCTCCACCACACCAGCACTCCTCTACGCCCCAGGACTGCCCCTCAGAACTGTGACCCAGATCCAAGCACAGGCAAAGCAAGAGGTTTCTGCCTCAGGACTGGCAAAGAGATCCTTGCAATCCCCCTCAGATCAGCCACTCGATTCCCCCTCAGTCCATGGGCTGGAAGCTCAGAAGGCAGCTGCTGCCCTTGGGGTGGCTGAGATCTAGCTTCTTCTCTTACCGCAGTCACAGACTTTTCCCACTGACCTTCTAAGTTGTCTTTGGTGTTTGTGGGTTGAGAAGTCTGGAAACCGCCACAGCTGCCCACAATTCAGTCCTCTGAGGCCTGCTCCAGGGTTGCTGTGGCCCGGGCCCACACCAAACTGTGCTCCTCTCCCAGCCCAGCTCAATATACCTTTCTGATCAACCATCCAGGTTGTGTTGGGCTCGAAATTTGTTTTATTCTGTTTTTTTGTAGGTTCTGCTGCTTTAGAATTTGTTTAGAGCCATTTTTTGTAGGTATTTGGAGGGGTTTGGGGGAGAGCTCTAGCAAATCACTGCTTTCCCTCCGCCATCTTGGCTCCACCCCTCAAGTCCTCTTTTAAAATGCAATGAAAAACAGTATCAATCATTCACATCTTCTTGTGGATTGCTTGAGTCAGATAATGAGATTGGATATTGGAGCTTTGATAGAGAGGGAAGAGAAGAAGAAGGATGGAGACTAGAGTTATAACACTTACCCCACCAGAAGTCAGGCTATCTGAATTATTATAATACCAAATAGTGTTAACGAGGAGAGGAGATTATCCAGCGATATTAGCTTACTGAAAGATTTTCTCTTTTATTCACATGAGCATAAAGATAATCCTAGTTTTTGATCCTTCTTCCCAAGTAGAACTATGGGGCATAATGAGAGTTAGCTCAAATCAGCACGCAATTATTAAGTGCCTACTGTGTGCAAGGCATTGAGGATGTGTTCCCTTCCCTCAGAGGCCAGAATGCCTGGTAATCTCAGCTTACTTTGAGCTCAGTTGTAGGAAAGAGCCTTTTCCCTCTGCATTTTGTTGCTGTGGAAGAATGAATTGTGCCCAGATAGTTCCTTTTGGGCTGCTCCTCTTGAGACAAGATTAATTTTTTCCCATCGCAATTAGCATCACTATACATATTGGTGGAGCAGTGCATAGAGAGCTGACTTCTAAGTCAGGATGACCCTGGGCAAGTCACTTTTCCTCTGGGTGCCTCAGTCAACTGTCTAACACTACTAGTTCGGAGCCTTTGCAGATCTTTGTTGATAAAAGAAATTTCATCACCGGGAGTTCCTTAATACCAATGAAATCATGGGTCCATACATCCACACATTTGCCTAGGTAAAGAACCCATAGTCCATGCAACTGGACTTGAATGATATATAAAAATCTGGCTCTAAATCAAGGGTTCTTAACCTGGGTTCCATGACCTTGTTTTTTCAATATTTTAAAAACTGCATATCAATAGAAGCATGTACTTTGTCATCCTATGTATTTTACTTTCTGCATTTAAAACATTATTCTGAGATGAGGACCATTGGTTTCACCAGACTGCCAAAGGGGTCCATGACCCAAAAATAGTTAAGAACCCCTGCTCTAGATGTTGCTGGAATTTTTTTTTCAGTTATCAGAAAAGGTCTGTCCCAGACTTTCTTTTAAAACTGAGTTACCGTAGTCATTTGGAAGAAGTTGTTTTTGCTTGGTTCATAACCCTAGCCAGCTAAAGTTGCACACTGTTGGATTGGGAGAAAGTTTCAGCTTTCGTCTTGGGGGATCATTTTTGTTCGGTATTCTGTTTCTTATTTTTGAAGGGAGAGAAGAAGATAATTTTTTAAAATTCATGATTGCTCATTAGGAATTTCCAAACATTCTTTACAGCTTAGAACACAGCCAGCCTTCAAGTCACATTGGCATAGCCAAAGATTCAGAAGTTTACAAGATGCTACAAGAGAAGCAGGAGCTAAATGAGCCACCTAAACAGTCCACCTCGTTTCTGGTTTTGCAAGAAATTCTAGAGTCTGAGGAGAAAGGTAAGTGGGGTTTGTCATTTGAGCTGGTTACTCAAGGTTTTGGGGGTCATTTATCAATTTTTTTTAAGTGATTCTAAATTTAATATTTGTTTCAGTAAGTGTTACACATACTTGGAAGCCATTTATATTTTAATTAGTTATTTCTATAACTCTCAAATGTTATTGGCTAGCCACAATTATTAATCTATAAATATTGCAAGGGAGGCAGTATGGTATAATGGATAGAGAGCCAGCCTCAGAGTCAGGAAAACTTTGCTTCAAGTCTTTCCACTAATATATACTGGCTGAGTAACCCTGAGCAAGTCATTTAACCACTCAGTGTGTGATGGAAACTCACTAAGACCAAGTTGCAGAACATTGGCTGATGTTCATTGGTAGGGAGAGAGTTTCCTCACTGGAAATTCTTCATGTAAATGTAATTGCAGACCTAGTCCGAAAAATCCCCCAAATGTCTCAATCCATAGAATCTCATAATTTTATAGTCACCCCCTTGGAGTCTCCATCAGGAATCTTTGTCTACTCCTCTTATTAGGTAATGATTAGTGGATCCTCTAGTCATCTGATTCTACTTCTTTTGTTTTGCATTTTTTCATTACTTTCTTTCCAGTTTAGGAACCACTGAGCACAGAGGAGTTTGCCTAAAGATTTGAAAAAGATTTAGCTTTTGTACACAATCAACCAAAAGTACTATTTCTCCTTCAAGAAACTGGATATTAAGTTAGATACTTCCTTTGTGTTCCCAATGTTCTATATAAATGTCTTAGGGTCACAGAACACAGAATGTTGATGCTTAAAAGGACCTTAGAAATCCTCAAATATATCTCCCTTATCTTATGGAGGAGGGAATCATGGCTTAAATTGGGGAAGGGACTTGACCAGGGTCATGCTGTTAGTAAATGAGGGAACCAGGATTCCCTCACTCATAAACTTTGTGAAGCTTTTTCCCTCATGACTTGTTTCCAATTATAAAGTTTCTCTCTCCACCCCTTTGGTTTCTGTAAGCCTAAAGGCAGCCTTCCTGTTGGGCTTGGAAAGGATGTGAAGGTCTGAGGGCAAGGGACAATGACAGATACGGTTAAAATGAATCAGAAACAAAACCCAGTCGCTCTGCTTTCCTTTGGGAGCTGAGGAAGGACAAAATGTGTGCTGTCCCCCTAGGAGAGAGAAGGGATGTGTCGTCTTTCATTCTTAAAGCAACAAAAGGAGAGTGGATTGTGAGTCCTGCCTCAGAAGGTGTGAGTGTGGTCCTGTAATCATTCTTGGACCAGCCAGAGCTAGACAGCATCAGCAACTGTTTCAGACAGGATGATCAGAACACTAGAGCCAAGGGCTCCCTTGCTCCCAAATCTCTGCTCCAATGAGTACCCACAATGACGAGCCAGTCCTTCAAGGCCTCTGAGACAGAGTCAAATCTCTTTCCCGTCTTTCCAATATTTGGGGCCCTAAAATTTGCCTCTTTGGCCACCCTGGAGACCCCGTTTTTCTTCATCTCATGATGGTGGGGGTGGAATTATAATGGAGAGAGTACTTTATTTGGAGTCAGAGGAGCTGGATTTGTGTACTGCTCCTGGTACTACTCGTGTGGCCTTGGAAAAGTCATTTAACCCTTATGATCCTCATTTTTCTTATATACAAAATGAGTTCTAAGATCCTTTCCATCTCCAAATCTATGGTCCCATGCATTGTAGACCCTTCTGTTTCTTCCTGCCCTCTTTCTTCTCTATCACCTAATAAATAGCTACCTTTTTCAAAGGGCACACTCTGAAGAAGGGAGGTAGTAGATCTTGGGGAAAGCATCACTAAGAGAAGACCTCCTAGATCCTAGATCTGGAATCTTTCCTAATTAGAGCCACTAAAATAGAGATGCTTAACCTTTTTTTGTGTTGTCTTTGGAAGATATTTTCTCCTTCTAGTTTCATTCCCCCTTCCAACTTCTACCCTCTAGTCCATCATCCTTCAGGCTTTTCATACCAGGGAACCTCAAACCCTACTGACAAAAGTCTATTATCCCTGTTCCTTCTTCCCTCAAAGCTCTCTCAAGAAATTCTCGTTGATAATCATGTGAAATTCCTGACCAGAGTGGTCTCTGACATGACCACAGTGCCTGGCACATAGTAAATACTTAATAAATACTTGATTGATTAACCATTTTAGCCCATCAGGGTTCTTTTGGATCTTGATGGTGTCTCCCAATATTCCCTCTCATTTTCTCAGACCCAGAAAAAAGTGCACTATTGGCCTCTGCCTTATCTGCCACCTATTTCATAGTTTGCTGTCTTGTTTTTCCCTCTTGGGAAGCCCTTGTGGGAAAAGGTATAATATGGCAGCCATTGAGGACAAACCATTTTCTGGGCAAGAAGCTCATTGTGTTTTGTTCTAGGGAGGGAAGAGGACAGTATTCAGGGAATTTTAGGTGTTCTCTTTTAGAAATTAATTCTGAGGACTTCTGATTAGGTCAGCCTGGATCCAGAACAGTGTGAAAAAAAATGATTTCCTAGGAAAGGCAGTCTTCTCCTTAAAACTTAAAACTTAACTTAAAAAAGTTTTTTTTGACAGTAGTATTTCAATATCATTGGTTTCCTTTGTAATCCTATGTATTTTATTTTATGCATTTAAAAACATTTCAGAAAGGATCCATAGGTTTCATCAGATTTCCATAGGGGTCTGTGATTGAAAAATTTTAAGAATCTCTGGACCAGGGAAGGCTCAGCTTCCAAGGGAAAGTCTTTGTATGTAATGCAGCTAGGAACATGAAGGAAGTCAAGTAGGAAAAAAAAAAGTAGAACAGACTGTTATGCAGACAGGGATCAATTCATGCATGTGGCTGACTGAGACACACTAGTGACTACAGTCCCTTTTCTTCCTTCCACCCAGGTAGAGGGAAACTGAGAGAGTGACGGTCTGGTTGATTCTAGCATGAGAGAGTTGGGAAAGTTCTTATAGATCATTTAGTTCAACTTTCCACCCAGTACATAACCTTCAAAAAGTATAGCTGACTGGCCTGGGACTATATAGAGTCTATCAGAAATTATGTGTGGGATTAGGAATGGGGGTGCCCTAGGGGAGTAAATCACAACTTAAAACAAATAAATCTCATATCACTCCCAGACTGAGGTAATCCAAGTATGCAAAATCCTAATACCACCTGGTTTCTTGGGCGTCTGTATTTCCCTAGGTTGTTGAGTTTCTTATATTACTCTGTTCTTTCCATCTTAGGAGACAAGGTCCTTGCAATTAGGGAATGTCTTTTAAAATAAGCTCAATTAAGCCATCCAAAGTGTCATTGAGAGTGAAAAAATAACCCCTGTTGACTTCAGTTGAAGGCCTGAGGATTTTCAGGCTAAAGAGCTTTCCAGAGATACTGGATTTCATTTGATTTTAAACATTCTTATTGCTTGACACTGCAGAGAAGCTTGAACTCCCTATTATGTGGGGCATAATGGAGAGTTGGCACCAAGTCATCTTGATTTCATCTCTAGTACCTCTCCCCACTTCTATCCACTTACACGGCCATCCTCTTGCTTGTTCAGACCCTCATTACCTCTCACCGAGGCTGTTATTAAGTTTCCCAATTAGTCCCCCTGCCTCCAGTCTATGTGATGTACAGTTCATTTGCTACCTGACTGCCAAATTGATATTCCGAAAGCCACCAGTCTAACCAAATCACTCCCTTGCTGAAGGAACCTTAATGGCTTCCCTATTGACCCTAGGATAAATGCAAACTGCACTTTTTGTTAAGTAAGGCCCTTTCCACTATGGTTCGAAACTGTCTTTCCAGATTGACTTCACACATTCTTCATTCCATTCCAACTGGCCTCCATGTTGTCCCATGTATTTGAGTCTATCTTCTCTCCGTGCCTTTGCAAGGCTGTCCCCATGCCTTCAATTTACTCTCTCCTCATTTTTACCTCTTAGAAGCCATAGTGTCTTTCCAGCTTGGGGACCACCGCCCACATGATGACTTTCCTGATCTACAATACACACCCCCCACACCAATTTTTAGTGTCCTCAGTGTACCTGAAATTACTTTGTAAATATTTTGTGTTAATTTATCTGTATATATGTTGTTCCCTATTCCAACACATCCTAACCCCACTGTTCAGTAAAATATAAACCCCTTGAAGGCAAGAATTGTTTTCTATACCATTTATTAAGTAAGCATTTAACTTGTTGAATAAATGTTAAATCAAAGAACAGTAGACCGGAAGTCAGGAGACCTGGGTTACATTCCTTGCTCTGTCCTTAACTAGTTGCATGACCATGGAAAAGTCACTTTAACTCCCTGAGTCTGTGTCCTTCTTTTCTTCTCTTTTCTTTTTTTTTTTGCCAGTGAAGGTGGGGGTGGGGTGGGGTGGGACAGACTAGGTGATCTTTAAGGTCTCTTCTAGCTATAATGAGCTATAGCTCCAGTTCCAGTAAATGGCACATTTGTGATGGGAACAGGAGACACATGACCAAACATAGAATCCAGTTATTGTAATTCCTATCCCTCCCCCTTCCTGTGATTTTCGATGTTGATTTATGCATTCCACCAGCAACATAATCAGCCTGAGCATGTGTCACCAGACAACACATCTCTGAGAAACTTGGTTCCTTCTTATAGACCTGTCATCCTGCATTGACCACCAATGAGAAGTAAATGTTTCTCTGCTCACCGATGAATCAATACCATTCTTTCAATCCCAAGAAGCTCTCTGATACTAGTGTTTGTACTCACTAAGACATTGTTTCAACAGCTGGTTTATGCTTCAGAGTTGTCCAGGTAGAGGAAATTGTTGTAGTTTCCTCCTTTTCATAGTGAAGTTGGCCAAAGATATCCTGATGTGCTAACGTCAGGGAAAAAGGGGAACGTTTTCTGGATTAACTTCCAATGCTTAAAAAAGCATTATGCCTAGCAGTGTTGTGTGTGTGTGTGTGTATGTGTGTGTGTGTGTGTTTCCAAGTTTTGAGTAGACAACAAGGTCACAAGAGTTTCAGACTTATGAAGCCAAGCAAACATCAAAAGACTTTAGTGGCTTCAGGGAGAGTTTGGTTTTGGGAAAATCACTTCCAAAGTGCTTAGCACAATGCCCAGCAATTAGCACAGTGCCTGGTATATAGTAGGTACTTAATAAATGTTTATTGACTGCATCAAAGTAGACAAGTAGAAATAGATTAGATAATTGATTCAGAAACAATTGGACACGATAACCCCACATTTGATAAACCCAAGAATATAATTACTAGGGGAAGGACTAATTATTTAAAGCTTCACAGAAAACTGAAAAAAAAAAAAAAACTGGAGCAGTCTGGCAGAAAATAGATCTAGGCCAGCAATTTATACTGCATACAATAATAAACTCCAAATGGATAACTGACCTTAACATAAAAGGTCACATCATTTTTTTTTTTAGGTTGCTATCTTTCAGATCTATAGTTAGGGGAAAATCCATAACCATCCATGAAAGACAAAGGAGATAATTTTTGTTAGCAAAATGAAAAAGCTTTTGCATGAACAAAACTAACGTACTTAGAATGTATTTTAAAAAACCCTGTCAATTGTGGGGGGGAGTCTCTACATCAGGTATCTTTGATAAAAGTTTGATATCCATAAAACACAGAGAATTGACACATATTAGAGGGAGCCATTCACCAACTGATAAGTGACTTAAGGATATAAATAATTTTCAGAAAAGGAATCTCAGCACTGAAAAATGTTACAAATCACTAATAATAAAACATAAATATTAAAAGATCTCTGAGGTTCCCCTGGCCAGCTATAGATGCTGCTTCTTCCATAATTAGCATAAGCCTATCTGATCTGGTGACTTATGAACTAGTCCAATTTCAGTGAGTACTGCCTGTACCTTCTTTAGTACATCAGTAAACACACCAGAAACAGCAGGATCTTTCCAGTTTTTTCTTCATTTGTTTGTCATGAGGGACCTAGGATTATGTTATATTGCTTCAAGGCTGACCCTCAGTTGGCCTTCTATGTGTTGAGCCAATGATCAGGTATTGAACTCTTAATTATGGCCCTATCTCAGCCTAAAAAGACCTTGTTTTTCATTGTTTTGGTTTTCCCTATCTGTAAACCCCAATTCTACCTCTCCCTAGTGGCCAAGCACTGCCAAATGCTAAATAATGATAGAGATAAGAGAGTGCTGGACTTGGAGTCAGGAAAACCTGAGGTCAAAATCCACCTCTGATATTTACTAGCTGTGGAAGCTTGGGGAAATGACTTAACTTCTTGGACTCTCAGTTTCCTGCCTGTAAAATGGAGATGATGGGGAATGTTGTAGCACCTACCTCACAGGGTTATTAGGGCTCAGAAGAGAAAATGTGTAAAAGTATTTTGTAAACTTAAATTTTCCATATGAATGTTATTTTATTTTCCATCTTGCCTGATGTGTTCTCCACATTTAAGGGGACCCCAATAAACCTTCAGGATTCAGAAGTGTAAAGGCACCTGTTACCAAAGTTGCTGCATCGATTGGAAATGCCCAGAAGCTGCCCATGTGTGACAAATGTGGCACTGGCATCGTGTAAGTACCGACCTACCTCACCCCCCATTTCATCTGTAATGAAATAAAGAGTGGGTCACTCACTTAGGCATAGATGATGCCAGCGTCACACATCAAAGATGTAGGAATGCTCTGCCAAATGGGCATCAGTTGGCAGGTGAACCCCATGGGGGTATAAGCCTTTCCCACTTCCCCTGCCTTCACCTGACCTCAAGTTCCCTTCTCCCACATTTTCTATCATTTTTGGCTGTGCGGAAAGGTAGCTTCCACTGCCTATCAAGGAGCAAGTGTCCCAGCCCCAGGCAGGGCCCATGAGGCAATGTGGTGGACAGCAGACTGATCTTAAAGATAGGAGGACATGGATTCTAGTTTTGTCTCTGAGCTGTGGGATCATGGGAGAATCCCTTCATTTCTCTAAGCATTAGCTTCCACGTTTTTAAACTGAGTGGTTTGGGCTAGATGAGTTCTGAGGTCCCTTCTGGCCCTAAATCTATGATCCTGTGACCCTCATAGGATGGCAGCCACATGGGCGTCCTGGACTAACAGAGCCCCTTTTTTTCACAGTGGCATATTTGTGAAGCTTCGAGACAAGCATCGGCACCCGGAGTGCTATGTGTGCACTGACTGTGGAACCAACCTGAAGCAGAAAGGCCATTTCTTTGTGGAGGACTGCATCTATTGTGAAAAGCATGCCCGGGAGCGAGTGACCCCCCCTGAGGGCTATGATGTGGTCACAGTGTTTCCCAAGTAGACCAGCAGCCGCGTGCACACTAACCTTCTCTAATCCTCACTATGTTTTCCTCTCTCCGGTTCCCTTTGCCTTTCTCTCCTATTGTCTCTAGCAATTGACATAGTGTTATCATTGTGATATGAAACTTTTCTTTTTGCCTCAGCTAATGGGATATTACCCATCCTACGACACTAGCTTTCTAAATGGTGGGCGTCTTGGCCTCAAGCCCTCTCAACAAGCATCATGTCTCCTTGCTATACTCTACTGCTATCTCCTGCAAACTGCATCAGATAGAAATTTAAAATAGGAGCAAAACAAAATCTATTGGACGTGGAATTAATTTTATAGTCAATAAATGTGAAGAACCTGACTGACAGTATGCTATGTGTCATCACCTAACCATGTGCCATATGGCTATAGCCAGCCCAAGCTTTAAGCTGATCCTTCTGGCTCATCTACCCTTACTTCGGGGGTTCTAGTCACTCCCTTTGGTGTCCCAGCAGCACCTCAGAGAGAGTGAGGAAGGGGGCTGATCCCAGTGAGGCAGGTATTCACTAGAGACTCTAGGAAGTGAGATTTCTTCGTGTCCCACCCCCCCTCCCCAGCCCCAAGTTGAAGGTATACTGAATACCTGGAAATACCTGAAGGAAAGATTCCAAAGAATTCACAAACTATATGATTTTCAATGACCCAGTTGATTCTCAGAGATACACTGCACTGTAGAAATGAGGAACATCTATATAGATTATTTGAGAGGTCTTCTTCAGGGTTTTGAGAGGCCTGAATTTTCCTGAGCTTTACTTAAAAAAACCCAGGGCTTCCTTAAAGTCCTTCCTTGCCTTTTTACTCCTAGATAACCATGTTAGGGCATGTTAGGAGGATTAGAATTGGGTTGAATAGTCTCACTCCCTGACTAAAGCAGAGAGCAGAACCTTATTCCCTATTAGCCAAATTAGCCAAAGGTTTTGCCTTTTTCTCATTTAGAATAACTCCTTTTTCAGCATTTTGTAATAAATTATTATTATTCTATTGGCCTGCCAATGGAGGCCAAGATCTGCCCCTACATCCATCCCCACCCTCCCTGACCCAGAGCAGGTGCTTACATTTAACCCCTGGACCTTGGGGGATGTGGAATTGAGTCCCATCAGGGCAGAGGTCTCCTTGGGAGCCCTAATCTTCCCAAAACATTCAATGAGGACACCTGTTCCGCTGACAGCTGACCTTCCCCTACTTGACATATGAAGAGGACCAGGGCTCATGTGAGTGGCTGGGTGAAGAGTTTCCTTGTTCTAGACCTCCAGAAAAGAATTGAAAGTGATTCCCACCATAGGCCTGATGAGGGGATCTAGTCCCACTTTTATGGTGACCACTATGATACATAACTGACGCAACCACCACAAATAACTTAGTGTCATTAGAGTGGGTTTTACTATTAGCACTTGCTTTCATGGGTCTGTCTATCCCAACCCAGTGTGACTTTATCCATAGACAACGAGGTAGGCCACTCCAGTTTATGGGTCAAATGGGCCCCATACATGTGCCGTCTGAGTGTATCCCATTCCTTTCTAGGAACCCTTCTAGTACCATCTATCGATTAGATAGCTAGCATTTATTAAACACCTACTGTATACCAGGAATCCTCGAGGATATAAAGAAAAACACAAAACAGTCTGCCCATGATGAGCTCACTTCCTGTTGGACATAGATAAGCACGCATAAAATGTGTTCAAAGTAAAAGTAATCTTTGAAGGATTAGGGATGGGGTAAGGCACTAGAACCTAGCATGTAGGAATAAGGACAGGCCTCATGGAGAAGGTGGCCCTTGAGCTGAGCATTGAAGAAAACTAGGGTTTCTGAGGGGCAGAGGTGAGGAGGGAGTGCATTCCGGATATGGGGCACAGGTTCAGCGTAGGTGTAGCATGCATTTACTCAATCGTAAGATAGGAGGTGTTCTCACACGAGGATTGCCGTCCTGTGACTGAGGTCAAAGCTGATACAACATACACATGACTTTGTTACACTGGGAAGCAGTGTGGCCCAGTGGCCGAAGCATTGGATTGGAGTCGGAAGTCTTGGGTTCGAGACCTGGCTCTGTCCCTGCCTGTGTGACCTTCTTCACCTCTGTGGTACTCAGCTCTAGCATCTGTCAAATGAGGGGGTTGGACTCAGTGACCTTCAAGATCCTCTCAGTCCTACATCTATGACCCTACAATCACATCAACAACTTAGATACGTAACAATAGAGTAGTCATATGGGGCCATGCCCATGCTCCATCCACCTTGGCATTTCTAGCTGATGGGGCACCAAAAGACCATGTGTGAAATAACTGAGCTGTCCTCCCCAGTCATAACCTTAGGTCAAACATCCCTTAAACATGCCCAGCTTAATTAATTAACTACTTAATTAATTACTTCTTATACAGGGCAATATCTCAAATGCTTCACATCAGAGGCCATATAGCAAAGCTTTGGAGTCAGAGGACCCGAGTTCAAATTACATCTCTTCTACTTACTACCTCGTAAAGTCACTTAGTGTCTCAGGGTCTGGTTTTTTCTGTCAAGGGAGGGAGTTTGACTACATCAGTTTTGTCAAACTCAAATAGAAACTCCCTGGGGCTGCATATTGACTTAGAAACCCACACATTAACACTATATTTTACTGCATTTTTATTTATTTGGTTAAACCTTTCCTGATTCCATTTTAATTGGGGCTTCACTTGGAAGCTGTAGCCCAGGACACCTCAGACTAAACAACCTCTACAATCTTTCAGTTCTAAATGTTTGATCCCGTGAACAAGCGCTTATTTTGACTCCTCTGTGTACCTTTGTCTTCTTGCAAGTTTTCATTTTTAGAAAGGCCTGAATCCCTCACATTAGGTTTCTATGAAAATATACTATAGATTGTGCCCTTTGCATTCCATCTGGCTGGTTGGAAGTAAATAGCTCCTGGTTGGAGCGGGGAAGGGGGAATTCCATCTCTTAACTAAGTTCCAGGAAACTGTTTGTTTCCCTTCCAAATTAAGGAAGACAGTTTCCATAAATACAATCAAGAATGTCCATGTTGATAGGCATTGCAGTATATAGGGAACTGGCCTTGGCAGTCAGGAAGACTTGGATTCAGATCTGGCTTCTGACACGTATTGGCCGTGTGACCCTTGGACATTCACTTAACCTTTCAATGTTTTCATGTAACTTTTAAGACTATAAGTTGTAGGGTAATTCATAGATGGACTATAAGTTCCATCTGTACTAGCAGAGGGAGAATTCACTGGCAGTTCTCTACACCAATGAAATCATAGGTTCAGTAAAAAAAAAAAAGCCATACCAGGTGGTATGGTAATACCCTAAATATCAGACAAACTGTTGACACCATGCAAGCCTTGGTGGACATTGAATGGATCTTTTTCAGACCTCTTAAAAGACAGCACAGTCGAGAGCCTTCACACCCACGTTCAGTATGTTTACTCATTGGAAAGAAGAGGAAGACTGGGATAAGACCTCTTGGCCAAAGTGTATCCAATTTGAGTCATCCACAGAAATAGGTCAACCAGTCTCAACTAAAAACTGGGCTGTGGGAGGTGGCGACATACCAGGTGGACGGTCAAGGACCATCCTATCAGTACCAGAGGTTAATTAAAAGGGTGAATTTCCAGTCCCACTCCTTTATAACCTGCTGATCTATTAGAGAAATCATTGGAACTCTAAAGAGCTACACCTAAGCGAGGTGGCCAAGCTCCCACTTCACTTCCATGGTATTTCAAGGCTCCTTGCAGAAGGAACATTGGAGCAGCATCTCTTGGGTTTGCTCTAACTTCCAAAAGTTCTGTTTGAAAGGCTAAACTTGGGCACTACTGATACTTGCTGTTGCTGGCCATGGATAGGGAAGGGATAAGTTCTTTTCCACACACATAATTTTTTTTTTTGGCAATTGAGGTTAAATGACTTGCCCAGGGTCACACAGCTAGTAAGTGTCAAGTGTTTGGTCTGAGGCCGTATTTGAACTCAGGTCCTCCTGACTTCAGGGCCGGTGCTCTATCCACTGCGCCACCTAGCTACCCCCTCTACACATAATTCTTGATGATAGACTCTACATATGTAGTTTCACAGCTAGCTAAGTGAGAAAAGTAAAGAAAATGTGTTTATGTTTTAATGAGTGTTTGTGTATTGTCTGGGAAACCAGCGTCTATAAAATCAACTTGAAATCCAAATGGGACAGCAAGAGCACTGGACTTTGAGTCATGAGACCTGGTTCTGGTACCTGCTTTGCCACAGTGAGCTTTGGGGCACGGATGAATCATTTTACATCTCTTGACTTAAGTTGTGTCTTCTATAAAATGAGGAACTTGTAGCCAAGAAATTTAAAACTAAATCACTAATGTTCTAGCTCTTAAAAAAAAATAGCTAGACCAAATGATTGCTAAAGTCCACCAGTGCTGATAATCTGTGAGTCTTTAAGGATAGTGAAAATTGTGAGTGACTTGCCATGCTGGCAGGTATTTACATAGAGGGAGAGCCATCATATTTTATGGAGACAGATTTTTAGAAAAGGAAGGGAAGGAACAGAAATACTTGGAAAATGGGAGATGAAAACACCCAGGCAGAAATCACAAAACCATAGAATTTTAGAACTGAAAGGAACGGGAGATGTGTCCTAGATGTGGAAACCTTGATCTGATTGAAGAGAAATACTGGGACGGGAAGAGCTGCCACAATGTTAGTGAATAGCGTCTCCTTCAGTGTCATTTTAATTAGATGAAGAAGAAACACAGGGAGGAATGTGGTGCCTTGCTCAGTCATTATTTGTAAAATAATAATAATAATAAAATAAACAAAACAGTTAATGGAAAGCTTTGGAACTTAGAAAATTAGTCCAGTACAAGCAATTTGAATTTTGTCCACAAGAAATTTGAAGTACTAAAAGAGATGTTCAGCAGAGTAGGTACTAGAAAGTTTTTACCAGAAGGAAAAATATAGTATAAACTGTACCATAATTCTAAGAAAACATCATGGGATTTGTTCAGGGAGAAAGAAAACTGAGATAGTTAACTGGCTACTGAATGACCCAAAATCCTTGTACTTTGTAAAATCTTGCTCCAAAAAATAAATAAATAAATAAATAAATAAATAAATAAAATCTTGCTCCAAATTGTATTCATCTTTCTATATTTTAATTGGGTGTGTAAATTATATATGTATATCTGTTAAATTTTATTTTTAATTAACAAAAATCTATTTTCTCTACCTCTAACCTTCCATTCAGAAAAAAGAGAAAAATAAAATTCTTATAACAAATATGCATAGTCAAGAAAAATATATTCCCGTATTGTCCATGTCCAAAACGATCTTATTCTGCATCTTAAATTCATCACT